TTTCCTACATTCATGGTTCTCACATTCCATGTCCCAATCACCAGTGTCTGCTTACAACTGTTCCTCTTCCTTTGTATTTCCATACTTGAAAACTCAACCTCCTGTGCCATTTCTGTTATCTAAATGTGTTCTGTTGTACATAGGGTTTTCAGAGGCCTGCTATTTCAGAAGTGGATGGCCAATCCTTCTTCCTGGTCTGTCTCAATGTGAATGTTCAGATTTAGAGAAGGACAGTCAATGTAAACCTCGGTGTTTTTATGTACCATCAAGTAGGAACTAACTCCTAGCTGTCCCTCCAGTGGGTTTTCATAGGCAGTAAATCACGCAGGAGAAGACTGCCCAACTGGTGGGTTCAAACTGCATACCTTTGTTCTGGCAGCACAAATACTTAACACTAGGGAGCTCTGGTGGCCTAATGGCAAAAAGCTGCACTAGAATCCCAGAGGTGCACGGTTCAAATCCACCAGATGCTTTGCTAGAGAAGCAGGGGCAATCCCCTCCTGTACCAGTCAGATCCAGTTTGATGGTGCACACACAAAATACAAATAAAAATTTTTTAAAAAATTAATTTAAAAAAACTAACAACACTTAACACTAAACCACCAGAGCTCCCTGTAAAACTGTTGTTGTTTTTGTTGTTGTTGTTACGTGCTGTCGAGTCGCTTGCGACTCACAGCAACCCTATGTACAACATCCTAAACTCTACTCTGTCCTGTGTCAATCGCACCGTCTCCAATACACCCATCCCGATTACCCCAGTCACTGAATCAACCCACCTCAAAGGGGGCCTTCCCCTTCTGCGCTGTCCCTCCACCCTACCAAGCATGATGTCCTTCTCCAAGGACCTGTCCCTCCTTGCAACATGTCCAAAGTATGTTAGACAGACCCTGTAAAACTACACAGTGTAAAAATAATATTGACACAAAAATGCATTTATCAATTAAATTGTGCCTCAGAAAAACTAACTCAAGAAGAGTAGTCTAACTGTGCAATACAGAAATATTAAATATGGAATTAAAGTCAAGAAAAGCCTACATAACAATGCTAGTTTGTAATACCTGGAACCAATACCTTTTAAGCCCTGATTCAAAAAGAGCTCAGTGGCAATAAGTTTAATGGTGTTTACTACAGAAAATACTTTGTGAAAATTTACTGGTGTTGATATATTTCCAGTTAAAGTGCTATTTATTCCTAAATTTGAACTCAATTATAGAACATATTGTTAAGTTGCCCTAAAGAAAGGACTGTAAGTTATGAGCCCAGAGGAAAAGAATAGGGAGGAGAAGGATGTCTACATTATTCAGCTTTAGTTTTTATCGATCTGGAAGCTGGACTAGTGTGGCATCAGGATTAGAGGGACTAAGCGAATTTCTGAATTCTCCCATACCAAAAAAATTTAAACAAGAGTCTTGGAAAATATTTAGAGCTAAGGCCTACTAAATGTTGGAGCTACTAGAAAATGTTTAGTGCAAAGGCCTTCTAAATTAAACATGACTTTTACTAAAATCTCTCCACTGCAACATGTAATACAAAGCCTTTTTTTTAATTTTTAAGGTTTTAATTTTATTTCCTTTTAAAATTTGCTACTTACTGGGTCTTACAGCACATATGCACCTTTTATAAAAGTCAATGACTTCTACAACCAGGAGAAGATAAAATAGATGAATGGGACCTTCTAAGAATCAAATCCCTATGCACATCCAAAAACTTCTCCAACAGG